ATTGATTGAGAATATGATTTCATAGTAGTCATAGTATCTGTTAATTCTGCATAAAAATGGGATTCAAAAGGTAATCTATTTTTTATATGATAAACACATGGTCACCTGAATATCATGTGGATATAACATCCCCGTAATTACCACTTTATTATATGAGATTCTGACAGTTATTTCTAAATAAGGAGTCGAGCAATAGTTTCGCCTGAGTTCGTAATGGCTTCTAAAATGTAAATTTACTGAAGGTTGAAAAACATATGTCTCCCTCTAAAAGTTCGTAAATGTAAATAAGAGCTTATTTTAGCCTAAATTTTACAAGTTTTACGCTTCAATCACTTATTAAAAAGGTTTAGCACAATAAGTTATTATTTTCTAGAAATATTCGCATTTCAATACATTAACTTGGGAAACATCACATTCGATAAGTTCATTTGCTAAGCGTAGGTATTTTTTCCTGTGTATTAAGAAGGTTTGACTTATTGGTTTATCGTACTCGTAAGTTACTTCTAAAATTTGATTTTCCAGATTTATTTGTCTTTAATGCTCTCAAAACATACTAAAAAGAAACAGTGAGATATGTCTAGTAAATGTGGATATCTGAGGCAAATTTCCCTACAGTAATTAATATCGTCGTGTAGAGTATCATATTAATTTTATCATAATAATGAAATCCGAAAAACGTTTATGATGGCAATCACTACATTTTAACCGACTAAAGTTAGAAACCGCGGTAAATATCGCTGTCATCACTCGTACATTTCTTTAGGTAAAGTATTCACGAAGTGAATTGGTCCAGTAAAAATGAGTGATGTAACGTTACTGAGATAAGTTAAAATATTTCTTGATTGAGATCATGAACCGATTGATGTTAGACCACCAGTGAAAACCTAGAGGCACTGAAAGACCGTCCCGTCCTATTTTCGGACTTCTTAGCAGTGCGCATCCACGATCCCGCTCACGGGATTCGAACCCAGAGCCTCCAGTCTTGCGCGCGAACGCTTAACCTATTGGACCACTGAGCCGGCATATGACGGTATTAATGTCTAACCTCAACCAATATTTTTAGTAAGCTGACCTGATAATATAAACATCATTTAACCTTAATTTTATTTACACAGATTACATAATTTAAATCAACAAGAACGAAATGATCAATTGTTACACAAATTCTTTCTAGTTGCGTTGACATGATTATATAATAACTTAATCCAAATGACGATGAGAATAACCATACAGAACAGCAATTATAAAACTTCCCGTTAAATATAAAATAAAAATATATGGTGAATCATTACTGCAATGCTATATACTGATTGAAAAGAGATATCTGACATAAAGTGATTCACACTTTGCTGACATAACTAAACACGAGATGCAAATCACTTACTAATTATAAAGCAATATAATTTATTGAACTTATTTAAACTGAACTTAATTATGTGATAATCATACTTCAAACGGTATCCTCAGGTGTGTTTTTTTCTAAATAGATAAAGCAAACAGAATTGATTATATATGATCTCACTTACTCAACAAATGAAAACCGTCTGTATAGATGTAGTTAACGAACACAGGTTGGAAGACTAAGGAATCGTTTAATACGAAATTGCGGAATGTCTTTTAAGCTATGAAAATCATACATTAAATACTTCATTTGTAAACCTTCCATCAACTATCATTTATAAACTTCACCGTTTTGTAATTTTTGTTGGTATTACAATTACTATCTGTCTATATCCTTGTTCTCTACAATTTAATCTTTTCAATCTTCTCCTGCCACATATTCCATTTCTGATTTATGTTACATACTACTTATTTTTATGTCAACATAAGTATCATACACCACATAGAAACCAAAATGATATTATCAATTTGAAACTATTATGTTTACTTCACCTCAAAATACATTTAACATATAAAATACCCGAAACATTTATGAAGAGAATACTAACAATCTCTATTAACTAAATAAAAAGTTATTTAATATTCATTGCTGTTTATTTGTATTATATCTAACAACATTTAGAGTAGATAATATATAACCAAATTTAAATAGGCATTTTAAATAAAAGTAGAATTGTACTAATAACAACAATACATATTTCAGAAGAATAGTTTAAGTGAATAATAACAAATTACAAATTCACATAGCTTATATTTTATTGTATCCAATGATAGGAACGGTTAGTTATCAATCATAGATTAATAAAAAATGTTTACATTTGATCCATGTGAACTTGATGATTATGATGATGATGATATGATGATGATGAGACAAACAGTTTCTTGTTGGTCTAATAGTCTCTTTTGTTTAGAATGTAAATAAATACTTGTTTTGAATTCAAATATTACTTATACTGTTTGAATACAATACATCACCATGGTATTATTTATGTAAACGTGAATGAATCTTCATATTTAAACAGGTATGTTAATTTTATTTCAAATGAATAACACACAAACATTTGATGATAATATATACCATTGATTGATTACTATATTTACGTGTTGTGTCAAGTATAAAAGCTGTTGGCATATCTTAAAAATAAAATTTAAATTATGCCTAAAGATGCTTATATGGTTCGCAATTTATTATTATTATTATTTATACTACTAATAAATGAAGGTATATAGTACAATTTTATTCATTTAAAAAAACAATTTTCAAGACTCATTGGTACAGGCTTTAGATATGACATCGGAAAACTATTATCCAACTGATAAGTAAGTAATAATTCATAGACATAAATATCAATCTACTTATGAAGTTGTTAAGGTAAGATATAAAAAAAAACTTTTTTCGGTGTTTGATTTATTCTGCATTTTCAAAAAAATCTTCTGAACACTGGACAACTATAAAATTTTTCGAAGAGATATTATTGTATAAAGTATAACTAGTTTAAATGACATTTAGTAACATTGTTGTCTTACGATAAGACTGTCTCATAAAAAGTGACTTTTTTGTACTATTTTTTGTTTTAAATGTTATAGGTATACACTAACCATTGTTATCTAATACACTGAAAAGTATTTACAATACAATATATTTCATTTGTGTTTAATATCAGAAAGAGGTTTTGTGAAGATTTTAGTAATTTAATAGTCATGAGTCAATTAAAGCTAGACTACCATGGAAAACCTGGAAGCACTTGAGGGCCAGTTTGTCCTAGTATGGGACTCCTCGGCAGTGCGCACTCACGATCCCACCCGCGAGATTCGAACCCAGGATCTATCAATCTCTTGCGTGAGCGATTAACTTCTAGACCACTGAGCCGGCATCCAACAGTTTTAATGTCTAATCCTAACCAATCTAAGAAATTACGCCACCATTGTGAGCACTGCTGAGGAATGCCATACTAGGACGAAACAGCCATTCAGTGCTTCCAGGTTTTCCATGGTGGTCTAGCTTTAATTGACACATGGATTCAACTATTAAATTATGTTTGATATTTTAGTGCTAGTCTTACACTAATAAATAGAATCAGACCATATCTAAGTTATTAATTATTGACTGATATAACTTCAGATTTTACGTGGCCTACATTGTGACTAGAACGGGTCAAATAAAATTGTGTTATGTCAAATCTACCATAATTGATGAGATAGTTATAGAATGATAATGAGCATAAAATTTTATTGAAGAACCACTATTCTGTTTGTCCTATCCTCACAAATATGAATGTTATCTGTGATTCACTAAGAAAGATTTCTACTACAATAGATCAAAAGAACTTTAAGGATAAATTATTGTTAAGAATGAGTGAGTCTCATTTGTTAATATTTGAAGTGACTAGTTTTTCAATATTTTATTCAGTAATATACATGTTAACTGTAAAATATGTAGTAAAGATAAACTTTACTTGGATTCATCATGTTAAAGACTTACGTATACGTTACATAATAAGTGACCTTGATTTTTATTAAAATAATTTCAGTTAATGACAAATTATATGAAATTTCATTTATTATAGTGAGTGCTTACATGATCAATGTTATATACAGAACTGTGACAATCTATTGACAGGTAAGAATTTTTAATATAACATTTGTACTTTGGAAAATACTCGTTCTTCATTAAAGCTTTATTACACTGAAAGAATATCTTCTAATTGTAAACAAAAATTTGAATTAGACTGTGCGTTACTCGTTAATTGATTTAGTGAAAAATGAGATTTTGTGAAAATTGTTCATTGATCCTGATAACAATTAATTTCTTATGTTATGAAATGTTTATAGCTATTTTCAACATAAACTAAGAAAAAATGTCATTCAATGAGTCTATTCAATGAAATGTTTTCAGTCATCTAGCCATTTAATAATATTATTTCCCTTCTATTCTTATATACATATAACTATACTAGTAATGAATATTCAACAAAATATGTTCGGGAAAATCATAGGATATAAAAGGTGTCCTATGAGTAAGTGCATCATACACTTTCTAACATCTTATATTGTTCTACAGAATGTCTATCTTTTATTATGTAACTCTTTTGTATTAAATTATTGAAGTACTTTTTAATCTGTTATATATTTGAAATGAATTTACAAACCCTAGTCTGCTCAAAGTTGGAAAAAAGTTCTTCCTGGTGTAAAATGTAAGTTGTTGACATAATGGAGTGTTACTTTCGAAAAGTGAAGACGGTTTAATTATATAATAGTTATCATCTGCTTAAAAAAATAGTTCTCAAATGACATTTCGGTTTAAATTCATATTACTGAGATAGTATACACGTATATTGTCTGACGACAAACATGTATTATCTTACTTACTGATGACTACAATAACTTATCTGTAAAATGTATGCTGGTTTATTTTTACTAATAAGTAGTAAGTATAATAAAACAATCGAAATCGGTAACTTTTTATACAATGAAAAAAATTTATATTGTAAACTATAGATATCCCGAAATTCGTAACAAATACGTTCAAATTTCAACTTAAAAGGATGATACCACTTACTTCTGAAGAAATTATTGGTCAGTTGACACTAGTTAAATCGATGAATCCTTTCATATTATGCAGAAAACTTAAATTCACTTTGGAACATAACTCTTCTGGATTACCAATATATCTAGACAGCAGTACGGGTGTACTACGTGCAAGTCAATCACTATGGCAAAAACAAAAAGATAAAACACTATTACTAAGTGTCACTGTAAAAAGTATTGATCATGATAAGTTTTCAGACAGTGCGTCGGTTATTATCTCATGGAAAGATGAATACGTAAATGGAAACCATAACAGCAAAACTGGTTATGATGAACGAGATCGCGTCCCTGAAAAGGTTGAAAAACAAATGCCAAAATTAAAGATAGCTACACGTGTAAGTCAATGTAGTTTACCTGTTTTCATATTGCCTTATGTTTCCGTAACATAAAATAATCTAACCTATATGTCCTTTAGAATTCAATTTCGGTGAGTTATACCATTACATACAACAGATATGTCTGTTAACGTTTTTTTAATAAAATGCTTTGAATATAGAATTACTTATTTTTACATTTTACTTATGTATGTATTACTCACTGTTAAATTTATTAAAGTCATTTATCAGATCACATTCTATTGAACTTGAATTAACCCGAGAGGACATCAAACCTACAGAGAATGTTTGTCATGGTCAAGCATGGTCAATTACTGCGAAGATTATATTCCCGCCTGGTAACCACAATGTTCATATTGAATTATTAGCACCAAGATACGTTAATGATCTTTGTGGCTACGTCAAATATTTTGGGGTTTCATTTATTGGTCACCATATAAAAATAGGTAAAATCAATTTAACTAAACTAAATCATCTTGGAACTACTCCTGATGATTCGGAGGTATATTTATTTTTATTTTAATGTTCTATGTAATATTGTTAAACTTGGAATTTATCTATTTTACTAAATTATTTCTAGTCTATGTATAGTAGTAATTTATAGTCATTTCAAAGTAAACTACCACTGTATACTAATTCATTTATTTGTTGGTTTACGTTGAACATAAACAATAATATGTAATTAGTAGTAGCTGTTCCATTCGGAATATGATTTTCATTTCAATATGTGATAAAACATTAATAATTTACTGATAAAAAGTTTGTGTCAGAACATTGTTAGCAACAAGTACATATAAGTAAATCAAAGGATGGTACGATCATAAATAACAAAATGGAATTGTATGTATATAATCTTTGGTGAAAACAATTAGTTCAACTAACAATAATAGAATAAAAGTAAACTTTAAATAATGACACATTTATCGTATTATTAACCATATTACAAAACTTCATTTCTAGATTGCTTGATTTAAACAATGAAAACTAACAGTAACGTTTTTTACTGTCAAAATGATCAAAATGTGCAGTAATAATGACTTGTTATCATAGTTACTAAATTTTGTAAACAGTATATACATTTGTATAGATGTTGTGGAGATTATTAAGTTTTTTGATTGAGATCATGAACCGATTGATGTTACATCACCGTTGGAAACCTGGAAGCACTGGACGGCCGTTTAGTGGATTGGTTGATGTTAGACACTAACACCGTTGGATGCCGGCTCAGTGGTCCAGTAGGTTAAGCGCTCGAGCGCAAGACTGAAGGCCCTGGGTTGAATCCCGCGGGCGGGATCGTAGATGCGCACTGCTGAGGAGCCCCTAAATAGGACGAAACGGCCGTCCAGTGCTTCCAGATTTCCAACGGTAATTTTTATTGAGTCAGCTCCTCTACCTATAAGTATGTCTAAGGAAGTAAGCTTTTTGGTTTTTTTCTTCACAGAAAAAATGATATGGTTTTAAAGAGCGTCACGTTTATTCAATAAACAATTCATATCCTCCTTTTTATCACATAACTAGGATGTCATCTACACATCGTTTATAAAAGGATATATTTCTGATTAGTTCTTCAGCTAGATTTTCAACATGTACCATAAATATGCCATCTTGTTTTTGTTTAATTTTAGCAACTTCAACAAATCATATTGGAATTTGAAAACGTAGAAGTGGAAAAAGCAATGAGTCCAATACCCGATCCATTTAGTGTATATCTGAAATTTGCTATGATAATGTTGGAAACTGTTAGTTTGCCTGTGGACGCAAAACTGAAAGCCGTTATTCTTTTGGGAACGAAGGACTTAGTATTGATTGGTTTGCTCAGAATGATATATTCGAAGACATGTCCAACACTTCCAATTGAACTCAATATTTCCTCGTACCCAAAGAAGATGGTACCAACCGACATCACTATTGTGACTGCGGATGTATTTTTACCAATCCTAAATGAAAACTACACTGTGAGTTATATTCTTCATATGGGAAAAATGCTTGTCATCTTATTTGCTTTTGGAAACATCCTTTCCGGAAGACGTCTTTAGTTGTTCTCCAGCAGCACTGTAAAAAATAACGAGAGAATGAGAGCTGGCTATGAATAGTGAATGATAAAATTTGCATTTAAATGTTAGATACAATTTATGGTGTAGGTTATTTTTAGATTCATATAATTAACTTGAATTAATACATTTTACTTCAAGAACTACAAACTAGTAATTATTTCTGGGTGCTTAGACTGTACGAAAGGATGACTTCTGTAACTAATTAGAATTCAGAGCCAAACAGTATGCTTATGAGATAAACACAATACTGAAACTTACACTTGTGCAAACATTGTACCATTATTATTGATATATTTTACAAGATTCCAAATTACTTGGAATAATACAACTAACCAGCATACTTTTATGCATTTTCTCATCAGTAACTTAACAAAGGAACCATAGTTGACTGAATGACATGTTTTTGGAGTACTGTATTTTACAGTTATATAAGTTAATTATTACTGCATGCTATCGTGTCCATTACTTTCTACATAGAGGGGAGTGGTTAGCTATGTTTTAGCTATGAAAAGGTATTCATTTAAACCTATTATGTCTAATGATCACTGATGAAGTTATCCGATGATAAGTTTTCTATCGTTTGACATCGTTTGTAATGTTTTTTTAATCAGTCGTTTTACAGTACGTAATGCTGGTAATCTCGTTCGTCTACGGGAACGAAATAAAATATAGCTGGTTCTAATATGTAACGTTATTTTGCTTTCTAAGTAGGTGGAGAGACAACGAATTGTATCTTGGTAAATATGAGAACCATACATCATTTTTCCTTCACATTCTGTGTGATTATCCCGATTTACAATCCCATTCTAAATCCGTTCCTTTTCCCATCAAGACAACATTTATAGTCTTCTGATCCCAGGTTTCCCACTTCCGATTGGAGTGACATATTACTTATGTCGACAGATATAAGTAGCATTCACCACACAATCACTTATTAAAACGTAATATGTACACACTTTTCTAATCCATGCTTGATAAGCTTTAATTTTATTTAAACAGATAGAGATTAAACTTACATTATTCTATTTTGACGTTAACAAATATATTTCAACTTGTAGTTCTTCCATAGGTCTACTCATAATTATTCAATTAATCTGTTAGTACTATCAGTAAAATAAAATCAATTAAAGAAACTGAAGAAAATGAGAAGGAAGTTATTATTTCCGTCACAATTTCTTTCTCTTCTGTAAAATATATTGTTTGAATCATGAAAGTAATTCTTTTGGAATGTGTGTAGAAATAGTTGATTTATAGATTTCTACCTGACTGGATTCGAACATCTTATTGACTCGTGTATATAGATTGAATAATTTCATAATTTGCTTCCATTTAGCTCTGTGATAAGAGCTATCTTTAGATGTATTAGGTATGCTAATGTCCACCAAGTCTGTTAAAGTAGGATGAAAGACAACTTTTAACAGAGCATGTTCAACTGATGTATTTTTACGTTATCTATACGTGCTCAGATGAATATAATTCATTTATAGTCTACTGTGCGTTTCATTAAATGATTTCCAGTTTATTATATCAAAATGATGTTTATAAGAAACTGGAAATACGTCTATTTCATGAAGGGAAAACTCACTTGCGTTGTTTCAATTTTCAAAGCGTTTACAAGAGAAAAAGATTATTGTGACAAACTTAATAGTTGAACGAACATACTTTCTGTTTTTGGATTGTTTTCAAATCGGATGTGATTACAACAGTTTGTTATCGGTTTATATCTAGTAATCACTAATCTATAAATCATGTTAGTTCATCATATCACTAAGGCACATGCGAAGAGGATAACTTATGAACAATGCGGTCTTATAAGAGAGCATCATATATTTAACAGGTTTCGTAAAACGCTTCTAAATATGCCTTAAACTCTTTGAAATCGGTTTACAAACACTTATTAGTTTCATCCAAATACTTATGTTATAATATATTTAGTACATTTAATCGACGATGAAACTACTCTATAAGCTAATTAATCAAAGTGAATTTAATCCGAAATAATCTGAAAGACATTTAACATTACAAATGAATTTGTTAATTCATAACCAATAAATTACTGATCATTTCAGTAGTTCAGTCATTAAATTTCTCTTTGACTGAATATACAATATTTAGAGAGTATTTACACTCTTTTCAATGAAGTTTTGCTTAGATTTTGAATACTTAGTAAATTCATGTTACAGATTCTTTTGTTATTCATGATATTTTTAGTTTTCAGTTTATTCAGTAGGTCAATCGGCAACAATCGCTTCATTGAATTTAGAAAAAGGTGAGGGATTCAATAAATATGAGGCTAAATCTATGATGAAACTACTCAAGAAGAAGTACTGAGTGATTCAATTATCACTAAAAGAATTGATATGTTTGTCGAAGAACTGCGTAATACCTGTAAGCTGTTGTGTTTAGACTTTTAAGTTCAAGGTGCATCCTCATTTTTTTCCTGCTCTACACTCTAATTTTTGATTGATCATAATATTGAAAACAATTGATTTACATCTTCTGAGAGATCCAGGTTTTAGATCATAGGTGAATCACCCTATGAAGCCGACCATTTTGTTTTTAAACAAATCAAGCAAATCACGATTCTGCTGTTGTGGCTAAACAGTCAAAATAGAGGCACATTATAAAATGACAGCTATTCATTTAAATGTCTCAGGCGGATATTTTACATCTGGTTTCCTATCATTGTTTCTAGCTAATTTTTTCACACATATCCAAAATATCAAGTTGTCATTAATGCTTTACCATACTCCGTCTGAAAATGATGGACAGCTTTTTAATGTTTCAGTTTGATTGAGTTATTAGGAACGTTCTCTCTTCAGTCTGTCTTGTGAAAATATATTAACACTACTTCCACCTGAGATCAATCCAAAGGTTGTTTTTCTAAATAAAACATCGGTTATATCGGTCATATTTATTGGCAAACCACTGAGCCCCTAGATCGTTGATTTGACATTTTAGTTTTAAATACATTGTTTTTTGTATATAACTGAATATTTCTCAATATTTTAAATGTAGACGGACTTCTTTACCATGCTTCAAGAGAAAGCAAGACTGTTAAGTTGGTTGTTTATATACAAATATTGAATAAACCGTCAACTAGAGTGATAATTGGTTTTCGTGTCACGCTTCTAACAGAAAAGTTATCTATGAAGAATGTAATATACCGATTGTTGCAAATTCTAATGACAAGGGGAAGGTATGTCTCTTTTAGGTAATTTGTCATATCAAGAATTTTAACTCAAAACACTTCAAATAATGAATAAAAATCACGGAATGTAGTTCATGGAGATAGGATAAATAGATTGATAATAAATAAATGGCATAAACAAATGCAAAATACGAGATTTCGATGTGATTTTTATTACAAGTATAAAGTCATAAGGATATGGATCGATTCATGGTGACCATATATGAATATTCGTAGTAGAATAAATCTAATACTTGAATTCTATAGAAATACATTCCCATTCACAAGTGGAAACCAACATTTCAATTGATATATCATAGTAACCATAAAATACCAAAGTGAACAATGATCACTCACGGCTCCACTAGGGATCGAACTTGGGATTTTTAAACCTCAGGGAGAAAGCCTAAACGCCATAAACACTAGACTGGCGTCTAACAGTACATATTTCAAACTTCAGTCGGTCCAAAATTAGGTAAAATAACCATTAAATTCTGACGAATCCTACACTAAGGGGAAACTGTTTTCCAGTGCCTTCAGATTTCCAATGGCACTGAAACAGATCAATCTGTGATGAATATCATTCACAAATAAGTAACTCCATGAAATCCCTTTACTTCAGTTAACATTAGGGTTTATTTATGATTTAATAATCCAGTTTTCCCGTGATCACGAATTGCACCCTATGATCTCCATTTATTATAGCAGTGTATTCTGACACAAAAATTATTTATCAATTCAAACTAGATTTTCTCATTATTTTATTAAAAAATTCAAATTCCTTGACATGAACCTAAGACATTCATACAGGACTAAATGCTAATCACTAAACATGAAAAGCAAACACCTAACGGTGTAAGGATTTATACGAAACTGAGAAAACATGCATTTTGTAAGGTTCTCAATCTTCTCGTTGATATTAAGAACTGAATTTTCGCTAGTCTTTTCCTGGTATATGCGCACATTGAGCGGACTGTCTCGATAATACATTTGACACGTTTTAAAATAAATATACATAGCGACTAGCAAAGGGTGATAAGAAGCACACCTCGTCCTATTTAGAACTCATCATCAGGATGTATCGGGATTACGGTGTTTACAAAAATCCAGTGCCTTGCACTTCAAATGCCTATGGTGTTATCTATTAGCCTACTGAGTGGGTACAGTTTAGAATTACATGATAAATGTACTGAAGGTCCTATAACACTTAAGAATATTTCACTGCACTTTTTTTCTCTCTTCATTTGCATCCGGTGACCTGTAGAGGCTAGTGTCCTCTATATCTGACTCCAATAAATAGTATCTCGTTAACTGAGTATTTAATGGAGGCTGAATTCCCTAGTAGAATTATGGATTTACTGGAGATTATTCAAAAGCACGAACATCAGTTATAGAGATAGTTTATTGTTAACGGTTGGTAAAATCCGCAAGTGTACACGAAGCAAGCACACAGTGAAAACAAGAGTGTGTGTGTGTGTTAAAAATCCATATATATTTTTAAGTGTTAATCAAGTATGAATAAATTATTGATTGTCTATGTATTACAATCAATGGGAGAATAGATTAAAAATTAACATGTGCTCAATCAGACTCACACAGAAAATTACATAGTGGATCAAATGTCTAAATTACTGTGAACAGATAAATAATAAAGTAGTGGGATGGGTTTACTACTACAGACCGACACTAAACTCTCAATAACTTTTGAATCTAATGAACATCCCTTAGTCATCCATATGTGCTTTGTTTTATAACCGTATAAGTATGTATACAATTATATACGTAATACTAAACATTTCATTTTCACAATTCTATTAGTAACTTTTTGCATGATTGTTTAGTTTTGTCTATTAAATGGCCAAATAATTTAATCAATTAGTTTACTTTCAGTTGGTTGTAATGAGAATGCCTTATAGTTATTTGATTTACATTACGTTACTTTAATTTGATAAAAGTACTATAATTTTACCAGCCGTTTTTAGATGGACATTCATTATTTCGCAACAGTATAAAACAAATGATCTTTACACGTCGAACATATTATTGTTATTTTCTTATAACCTTACTGTTGAGAAGTACCGGAAAGAATTTAAACACCTATATTCAAATGGTTACTAACATAATCATCATGTATGTTTTTTTAAATAATCAGTTTAACGAGATTGTTAGTAATCAACTAACCATTTGACCACTCTTAATGTGTGCAACAAAATAAATTAACACAACAGTAATCATGTACTGATAATTATTAGGCATCTAACAAGAAGTTGATGAATTTGAACACTGGATAACAGACCTGAACTATAACTGAAACACTACTTTCTAGCTTAAATTAGATGATCCATATACTACTATTTAAAATTTTATGAATGACATTTTTAACTAATGATAATCTGAGTACCCATCGCTCTTTAACTCACCTTTATTTTTAAAAAAATTTGTTCATAGTTTCAGGCTTCATACATTGAAAACAATCATTCAGCTCAAGTTGAAACAGAAAAAGTTGGTGAAATTAACTTTAAAATCAGTTTTCCATCCAATTCAATGCAAACATATTCACTAAAACTAAAATTTAATAAGTTTATACTTGGGGAAATATGCTATGCAACTATTACAGATATTGGCACTGGAATTAGGCAAAGGATTATTGGTGTAAGTTATATGACATCATTTTTTCATGAACCTAGTTATCTTTTATGACAATATCTATGTACATTTAAAACATTGTCTAAAACAAAAAGCAAAGTTAAAGCCATACGAATAAAAAAAATCACAAAACGTCGACAAATGATTCACTATTGAGAGAACATTTACATATTAAATATGGGAAGAGAAAGATTTTACCGACAATGATGAATTAAGTTACAACATTTTTCATACCTTTTATTTTATCGCAAATTTGTAAGTTTCCTACAACTGGTCTTTTGACAAAATTAAGTAAAACAAGCACGACAACAATTTATTGCATTTTGTGATTTCTCTTCAGCTCTTTTAAAGTATCTCATTTGCATATAAACATACATTCTCTTTACTAAATGACAAGTTTTTTTCTCAAGACATGTGATGAAAATCGTCTAAAAAGTTATCTAATAAACACAGAAGTATGATTTTACAATACATCGTTTGGATCTCCATAATTTATTGTCTTTAAGTTTAATTTGTCAAATCTAAGCATAGTTGATTACGGTAAATCTTAGGTTCAAAAAATTGTTACGTTTCCTACCATCAGGATTTGGTATCATTAAAATTCTATTGCAGAACACTTCACTGTGAAATTAATTATACGACTCGATGTAGATAAGATTTCAAATAATGGCCTACACTGATAATAGAAAGATATCATGACAGAATATAATTATCTGATACAATTCATACCGTTTAGTGAAATATTTAATATACTGATTTAAGTTGGCATTAAATGCACTTTATTTATTGCGCAAATAAAAAGGTTATATGTTTTAATTTTTTTTGTTTCAGATGAGGCTGCACACAAGTTATTCAACGCATGGAATAAATAAATTAAGATCTGAAGCCACAGTTTATCTGGGATTAGTGGAAAACCCAACAGATGACACAACTAAACACTACATTACCTTAAATGTAAAAATAAAGCCCCATCAAGAGAAGAGTTTTCCTAATGTATTCACTACACAACTAATAACTGATTTTATTTTAAGTTCAGGTCAAAAAGAAACCTCATCATTGTCTTTTAAAGTTACTAAGTCTAAGCCACAAGTTATTCCAGTAAGTTTTCGATAAAATAAATATGAGATATTTTAAATTGTTTTAAACTAGGACGACTCCTATACTTTAAGCTATTTCTGTAGAAATATACTCCATCTCTCTATGTTAATTGCTAGTCTGTTGATCCTAAAGTAAATCAAATCCGACTACTTCAAATGTTTTTTGATGAAGCAACCGACTAATTTGTCAAATATTTCCCGTATTTATTAATGATTATCGAAAAGCAGCAAAGATAGGTTATAAATGGTTCTGTCGAGGATTTAGTGATCATTAGTAATATTGGGAGGATTTTCGTTTTCGACGAATTTTCTATAGTTAACTCTTAACTCAAGTAGGAAACCTAAGTTAGTGGATGTTAGTCATTTATTAAGGAAAGAATACTTGTCATTATATTCTCTGATTTATTCTATTCAGTCTACAATGGTAGCCTACTTCATAATCTCGAGATGATTCTAAAATGAATGGAATCATTTTCTGAAACATTTAAGGCAGCAACTGACATGCACAGTTCTTCAACCGTAACCCTTAACGATGAAGCTCAAGAAAAATGAAGGAATGCTGAAAAAATCTTTATATTTCAGAGAAAACATATTAACTTGGAATAACACTTTATATGTAGTAACCGAACAGTACCTTATGATACGGAGTAATCGGAAAATTAAAAGTAAGAGAAAACATTGAGAATGTAACAAAGACCATGTAGAAATACGAATGCAAAATTTGTGCACATGGCTGTGACTTAAAGAAAAATCTACTATTTTTCAGAAAACTAGATAACCTGAGTACCTCTTGCAAATACAAAATTATGTTAGTTATCATAAGGATAAGGGTCTTCAAAACGTATAGATTTATTTAGTTCGGTCTTGATATGATCTCGATTGCGATTATCAAAAGACGTTCCGAATAATTTAGACTGTAAATAAATACTGTTATTAGTAACTGAACGAATTTTAAGTCATGTCCTATTCCCTCGCAGAATGATCGTGAGATTTTATGTTTCGTTTATGTTCAATATTGTTTAACACGAATGCAAATTTTTGAACCTATATCCGGCACCCATAGATTTAAAGTCTAGAATTCAAGAATGAATTTAAACTTGATATGTCCATGTACAATATTTTAAACTATATTTTTAACGTATTTGTTGATAATTCTGGTTTTAGTCCCATAAAAGGCCTATAGCTGTCCTAACTGTTCTCAATCCAATAACAAATGTTCGTACAAAAAACTATTATACAACAGTGTTTGCCGTTATTACTTGGTCTGAGATGATTTTATACAGTCCAGTAAGCATAATTCTTCAAACATCTTCTCATGAATCGGAGCTAATCGAACAGCAATTTTGTTCAATAGGTAAAGCTTTAGAAACAGTTGTCCCAATTAATGCTGAAAAATCAATTAAAAAGTAATTGATAAAATTATAAAAATTTCAGTTTTAAAGATAAATATTTTATCTAATATTGAAGTAATTTCAATAGTTGAGATCATGAGTCGATTGAAGCTAGACCACCACGGAAATCCTGGAAGCAATCGACAGCCGTTTTATCCTATTGTGGGACTCCTCAGCAGTGCACATCCGCGATTTTGAGATGGTGGAGAAAAAAGCGTCCATGATCCCGCCTCGCGAGATTCGAACCCAGGACCTACCAGTCTCGCGCGCGAGCGCTCAACCTCCAGACCACTGAGCCGGCTGGCATCCAACAGTGTTAATGTCTAACTCCAACTAATCCACGAAATTGAGCGACACATCCATCATTATTATCAGCAAGTTACTATTTCACAACAAACGCGGTTGAACTCCATCGGATGCCGGCTCAGTGGTCTAGTGGCTAAGCGCTCCCGCGCAAAAAATATGAACAAAATGAATAATAAGTTTTTCTGAATATGGAGAAAATTTTCATTGATAATTAAGCTTCATATTCGCATATACTGTGGAAATATCAGGCCTATGAATCTAGAGTCATTGATCATTTAATTAGCGTAAATTTTGAAAAAAATTCTGAATTCGTTTCTATTTACTTATAATCCTTTCAAAGTTATCAACTTATTGATTGAAAGTAAGTCAATGAAGGAACAAATCAACTTTCACATTTTTAGATGAATAAATCTCAAATCTTTCTAGTGGAAACCACATAACTAATTGAATACTTATTTGGAAACTAACAAGAATAGAAATTATTGTGTAGATGAAATAAAACTCATATAAGAATAATAAAAATGAATACAAATTTGCTTCTGCATACATGATTATCTGGTCATGTTACAGTTGTTGAGGCTTCTGATTGGTTTTAACCTCCTTGATGGTTAACATGAATTGCAACATAATATTCATCATTTACTTCAATGTTCGTTCATCTTAAATGCGTATCTTAACTGAACGAAGTGTTCGTTAGATTGATTTTCATATTAAAAAGACAATGTACAACAAAAAACCTAAAATAACAGTGGAGAAATATATATCAGAAATGAATTTATCATGCTTTGAAACTTAATTGAAGTGGACATGACGATACACCCTTTAGAGATGTACAGTGAATAGAAAAGCTTGATTGAAATATCATGATTAAACACTCAGTTCTTTACATGTAAATGACACTGGAATTAAGCACATTACATCTCATTTACCACTTGACCTATATCGTATCATCAGATGAACATTTTCATCATAAAATCAGCGATATTTCTGTCATTTTTTCAAAAATAAAGTCATTTGAGAATCAGCTAACTTTCATGACATTGTAATTTAATTCATTTCACTATCGGTAAATAACCTTTTTTATTGACTATCTGCCCATGACATTTCCACTCACGAGACATGCGGTTTATGAATGAACATACCCAAATGAAAAGCATTATTATAATTAAAATTATCCATCAATTATGAAAATTTGATTTCTCGTATTCTAAAGTCAAGTTATTCTTATTCTAATGCCTATAAGCTCGGATTTAGACACACTTAACAACCTATATATTAAATCCACTTGATGTTGTTTGCTCGTATTTTCTCATTATTGTTTAGGACTGCAAGTGATCAGTCTCTTGTTACCATATGTGCATCTTGTGCGGATTGCCTCGATATTGTGTTAAGTCACAAGCTTTATAAACAAAGATGGATAGTGGCTAGCAATGGAATCAAGGACGCGCATTTCGTCCTATTTTGAACGTGTCAACTGGATGTACCTGCATCCCAGAGTTGATGTTCACTCTCGGACTTGAACCCAGTACCGTTCGCTTCAAACGCCATCGCATTATCTACTTAGCTACTAAGTCCCAGGGTAAACATCAAATCACTGATGCAGGTCATCTAGCTGACGAGTTTCAAATAGAACGAAACGCGCGTCCTGGATTCCACTGCTAGCCACCATCCATCTTTGCCTATATATTAATGCTTGTAAATCTCTAGCTTAGATGAATTCAATATTTAATTTTCTAATTATTTCTCTCTTATTACTTGCAGTAATGTTGGACGTATTGAGCTACCTTCAGTTTATATACAATCATTTGGTAATTATACTAACGAAGAACGATCAATGACAATAAAATATGTAATACAAATCAATGAAATTGAGGATATTATACTAAGTCTTGATATTCTATTTAGTGGAGAAAAGATAACAAAAGAGATCACATTATCACCTACAACTAATACACCTCAATCTGCACTTGTAAGTTTTTTGAACTATTATTCATTCACAATAATCATATTTTCAAAATCTGAATTTCAGAATAAATTTATCTACTGCACCACACAAACAAGCAAAATTCATACTGTTAAGTAGATTATTTTCCTCACCAATATATCTACTACCTTTTACAATTTGTTGACAATTAAGACAGAAAACAATTGTTATGAATAGTTATCGGATTTTATTTTTATTTTCCGCCTGGAGTCTCTCCTGGGGCTACTGCCGGTCCCAAGCCTGGATAAAGGGGAGAGTTGGGCAAGGGGTAGGTACCCCATCCCGTAAAAAACTAACTCGCTAAAAAACGCTAACCAGAAAAAATTATTCAAACCTTTTAAACTCTGCCTTAGGAGTCAGATGGTCTTCACTTAGAAAAGTTATGACGCCTCATGATGAAAGCCGAGTTCCTTCGGAAGTTACGAGGCCGATGCCTCTTCTGACAACCAGCGCAACCATTTATTTAGGTACATGGAATACTGGTACAATGTAGGAGACCTGGAGAGTCTTCCAAATTGCTGCAGAAATGAGGAGATACAACCTTGAGTTGCTTGGGATCAGTGAATCTATTCCATTATCTTGGTTCAAATCTGTCACATTAGAATTTTATGATCATCTTCATGAACGATAAAGTAATAAATGATAAATGTGGATTATTATAAATTTTTGCATAACACATGATTATTTCAATTAGATATGATAACAATTTGTATGATAAACATACGCTAAAAAAATCGAATTACTTATTACGGTTTTCTAAATAAAATCATACTGAAGTGTAAGTATGTTTTATTTTGTTCAAGTTAAATTGTTTTTTGGTTTCACTTTTCTAGTCTTTAAATGAACAACCATCTGGACTACTACAAAGTCTTCTAATTAGTCGTGCAGATAATTATCTTCATCCAGATTCATTCAGCATTATTATGGCAAGTGTAGTCATTTCTCCAAGTGCTAGACAACAATGCTCTATGAAAATTGAAACATCTAAAGTTCAGAATGAAGTCAATTTTATTGATCCTAAAATTTTGGATACTGGTTTGGCAATAACATCTCATAAATTTCAATTTAATGTATCAAACAGCATAGTATATATAGGGATTGGTAATCAACAATTTGAAGGTGAGATGTTTGTTTCACAGCTTCTACAAAACTATATTCAGTAACTGGCTTATTTTGCAAACTATAAAGTATAATAAATAGATTTAATCGAGCATTCCTGATTCTACATAATTTCTAGCCAAGGATAAAAATTACTTACTTGATCTTTTGAAATAAAACATGATTTCTTCCATGTGACAATATCCGTATAACTTTTGTTTTAATACGATTTTAGTTTGGTGTGGGTTCTGACTAATTAATTCATACATTTGAGACAATTTAGAGAGATAATAATATAGGGACTCGTAATATGAAAGCAAGTATTAACGCTATTGAAAATTAGTGTGTTTGTACTTCTTTGTATACATGTATAATGTTTTTGAAATTGTAGTTCAACTTATATTCTTTTTAATCTGATCAATCAAATCCATCAACCATTAGGTATTTTGTCATACTCTATTTTCATTAATTCATAATTCTGGATAACTCTACGTAATTAAATTTATCAAGAAGGATCCATATAAGTTCATCAGGATCTCTTATTTGTCAAGTTTTTAAATTTTGAACCGTCAAATATCATAAACAAACTTTATAAACAGCCTACTATTTAATTCGTTTTGTAAAAAAGAAATTTATTTACTTATGAACCAAACATATGCAACTGATTTTCATTTTGAGCACTCGCAATTAGTCAGAAACTCATGAATAACAATTGTGTCACTAAATGCACATACTTTTATTTAGTTTTAAAACTCTTGACTATTTATTACCATTATAGACGAGTGGGTGATTTATATTTATTAAAATTCGCCATCTTTGTTAATCTATCAGTTTATGAGATGAAATAACTTTATGCCTAACACATGCTGTCATGATTTATGGGTATTATGGTTTCAATTAATTCCCTTATATAATCCTAAATGTGACAATGATTTGTGTAATTATACATAACTTATTCTTTGAAATTTTATACATCTTTGTATACATTAGATAATCAACAAGCAAATGGTGCGGTTACCAAAAACGAACCAACATCTATTAACATTATGATTCCGTTAAACATTACTTCCACCGTTTCTAATTCCATCGATCTGAAGCTTGTTTTATTTGGTGAAAAGCAAAATTATGAATTCCCATTTATGTTTAATATTGGTCCTTTGCAGGTAATTTTTAATTACTTTCGTTTCATCTATTTTTTCAGCGAACTGCTGAGAACACTGGTATGCATTTTACTAACAAAATTTTCTCCTTACGAACTTTATACAAAATGAACTGAACAAAGACATACAGGCACTCGGGAATTAAGAGGTGTGATTGTCTCCTTACACCAAATATTACCATAGAATCTTCCAGCATATTAGAAAATAAAATAATTTATTTTAGATGTACAGATGAATGACATTATAAATTTAGTAAAAGTGCAAAGTTATGTAGAAAGTAGGTTCATCCCTCACAGTATCTGATACGAATATGTGTTCTCTAATGCAGAATATTCTTCCTCTTTTGATTCCCCGTCTACAGAATGCATTTAAATTGACGTAACTTTCGAAAATTTTCTATTCTTCAGAAAAAACAACCGTGTTTTTTTAATTTAGACTCGCTGAACCGAATAGTTAAATAGTATCAGTTTTATACACTTAATATGTTTTAAAAACATTTTTCATTAGACTATGCCACCTACTGCTCTCTTATCAATAACATATGAAATTGACGCCATAAACATTGATAAACAACCGGATCGTACCGATACGCCTCTTACTCCTGGTGAAATTGGACGAATTTACAATCGAATTTCTTTAAATTTACCGAAATGTGAAGAATATCAAATATCATTTTCTACCTTACCTAACTCTCCATGGCCAGTTGATATAATTGATATCCTTATTTTGGATGTTAGTAATTACATTTGGATTTCCGATTTGTCAGATTATCAAGTTATTAAATATAGTAGGTAAGTTAATACTCAAATAAGACTTCTACATTGTGAAAATATTTCGTGAAGAAAATGTTTTTTTCGACAGCAGAATATATATACTAATTAGATTATAATTCTTTTAACATATGTGGGCCAATTAATTTGTAGGAGCTATAGTTCAAAGAAACTGACATCATTAGCAAAGAATTTGTGTTTATAGGAAATTTACAAGTTTTAAGACACAGTACATACAAATCGCTCAGATGAGTTATCCAAAAATTTGAAATGAATCCACTAGTTAAATAATGAATGATAGTTACCTTTGGGGTGACACTTATTTGTGCTAACAATTATTGCGAGATGGATACAATTTAAGATCGGTACCTGTAGCCATCCAGTAACTTGTTGAATATAACATTATTTTGTGAAGTGTTAAGTTTTAAATTAAGATCTTAGTGAATATTGACCACGCGATGAATTTTCATCTAGACAGTGGGTCCTGAATAGGACGAAACACTGATCTTGAGTTTCGATTCTAAAGTGTCTGAAGATGTGTTCAATTTCTGGAATTAATTTGATTTTTTTCCTTATTTAGACCTGGTTCACTTACAACTGATTTGGCTTCAGTCAAACTAATGATATGTGCTCCTGCTGGGTTCGGAAATGAGGTTAGTATCGTGTTTTTATAATTGTGCCCAAATTAACTAATGAATTTTTCAAAAGAATAAGTTTCAAAACAACTTATTAAATAAAGTGATTCTTAGCGTGACTTACTCAACTATGTACTATTTACGAAGACTTAAGATTATTCACTATGTCTTAGTGAGAACTTAAAGTGATTAAATTCGAGCATGATCTAGTCATCTAAAAGAGGATGAACCCATAAAATGTCTCCATGATGAATTTTTCCATGCTTGCGATACTTAGAAGACAAAGTTAACGATCAATTCAATCTTAGTCAACGAATGCAATATCTGATCTCAAGTATAACAAGTTGAATGAGATTAATTAAAGTTTCGCTACGAAGTATTAAGCCGTTAAGTTGTCTAAGAGTGGGGATTATAACTTTGAAAGGAGTAAGAAGCAAATGAGTGATTCATAAATGAATAGTTCTCATACCTTCAAAAAGTAGTCATGGGATTGTTGAAGTCTTAACGTGGTTTCAGAAATCTCTGGTATTTGGACTCTGAATGGTCATCGTTAGCTAAAGTAGTAAGTCTCGTAACTTGGGCAGAAATCAAAAATGTCTTTTCAAAATGTTTATTTTATGTAGTGTTGTAAATGCTCGCCTAACAGATTAGATATAGAATAAATACCGTTATGATTCATTGCAATTAAATTTAGTTTCCTATAATCCATATTCAAAGATGTTCTTTGTTACAAAGCTGCTTATATCCAACAATGAAATTATATTTCAATTCCTAAAAAGAAAGTAATCGTGAGAATACCACGATGATCCACTAGTTCGGAGAATAAATCTTACCTCGATTAAGTCTAAAATGTCTGATATCACTTTTATCTTAATCAATCATTCATTGTATATAGGTACGGGTTGATGTACTTATTCGTCCATGGATTCGAAACAATAATGAGAAATTAAAAAGTCAGCAAAGTGTTACAATCATTGGAAATGTAAAAATTAACAGGATTAGCTCTGAATTTAATCTCACTCCATGTATATTTAACGTTTCTTCGGAGAAAAGTATGAAACAATACATCCCTGAAAATAATAAACCTTTAAATGCTAAACAGGTAATTTTCAAAATTTTTCTAATGTTATCCTTTTAATTTTAAGCTGATAAAGACCGACTATCTATTAATTTTGTTGATGTTTCTCACAAACCTTAATAAATTACGCAATATGTATCGTACTGTAATGAGAATGAATAGACGAGGTACATTAGACAACCAGTGATTACAAGTTTATTTACTTCTGATTAGAATTCCTATTACAGATTTATAAATTTTTAGCAAAACAAAATTTATCTTAAACTTAATGAATTTATCAGAAGGGGTTTTATGGAGATTTTAGTAATTTCAGTAGTTGAAATCATGAGTCAATTGAAGCTAGACAAAGATGTGATTTCTTGAATTATCTGTTTGTTCACATGTGCTTCTCATAAATAGGATTGTTTATTAAAAAAAGTATGAATGTCACGGAGTTTGTTTATTCTTTACAAGTTTCAACTAGATGCTAGTGCTCCCAGTGCATATAGTAATAAGTATATGAGAAATGTAAACTATCTCATTTAGTTTATAATATGCTGCTTCTTGTAATTCCCAATCCACAGTTATACTTTTTGTCATATATATTAACCAAAATGTGTGCAATCAAAATATGTTTAAATTAATTATCTACAATTTCATTACTGTTGCAGTGAACGAAAACTCAAGCGGGCTTTTGTAAAACATGAAAACCATACATTGAATAGATCATTTGCAGATCTTATATGCGTTGTTCCTTACCTACTCCATTATTTTTCTATTGTTATTTTGATTGATCTTCAATTTCCTTTCTATTCTCTTAAATTCAATCTTCTGCTGCCAGGTAATCCATTTTCGACCGCGGCTACATACTACTAATATCTGTCAGTATAGGTAGCATAAACCACAGAATTACCGTTCAAATTCAACTAGAGATATTCTCTTTTCATCTAACTTTCTAGTTAAAACTAAAAACACTAAAGGCAAACACCTTGAAATTAAGCTCATTACAAAAAGAATTTTAACAGTCTCATCAACTAAATCTAAAATTCTTTTGTAATTTTTATCCATGTGTTTGCTAGTTTAGTTTAATCCATATGATGTACTAATTGCAAACAACTAATTCAAAGTACCTAATCAACTAGTTTAGTCTTTATTACTTTGCATTAAAAATAATGTTTACATCTTATCAATAAATTAAGCATCGTATTTTATTACTGAATTCACCCGAATTAAATAAAGATTCAGTAACAACGATTATAAAATCTGTTATTGTTCTAAAGATCACTTCATGAACATTTCAGGAATGATTTAGAGCATAGATGTGGTACTTTTGATGTGATTATGTTCTTTGATCTAGATTATTGAATGAGATTCATTCAATATTGTTCTGAAAGATACCATTTGTTCTTACTTCAGCTTCGCATGTGAGTAAGTAAATAAATAATTTAGTTTAAAGAATATAACCAAGATATTTGATAAGTATCATTACCAAGGTTTGATTTGATAATTTCGAATAAATTGAGCATTAGGTAGATTGTTATAAATAAATAATATATATGATAAATAATATATCTCTGAAGAAGTGGCTTACACTGTGTCAAGAAACGTCAGAAAATCTAATTCTTCTACTCATTGGTATATTATAAATATATTATTTATTTACAAGATATTCGATGTTATACTACTTTCCACGATTTAAAGCAATTTGTCCTTTTGTCAAGTTTCGATAGTGATAAGAAGACGAAGATTATCAGAACTATGTGATATATTCGCGCAATGAATTTCGAACAACCTGATCACACATATACTTGTTAAGAACATTTATATATTAAAATAACAGGTCAACTAGACTGGAAATGGGGGTAAAAGGAAACAAGGATAATAATAAGAGTAATAATAATAATAATAATAGTGTGAACACAATTTAAAACCCAGTCACTCTGGCCAATAAACCAATATTACCAGGGTAGGTTTAAGGTGAGAACAAACTGCTTTTGAATACACAAAGGGTATTTGAATTTTCGTATTGCTAAAGCTTCAATATTTCTTAGTATACGCCCTTTTACACTTTTATACAACACTACAAAAGCCAAGTTAAGATCAATGAATAATATTGTCCGACCGGCCATTTTTTTAAAAAAAAATTTTCCACCCCCGAATTACAATATTTTTCATCCCGTGTTTCGTCCAATGAAATGGCTAGTTTCAAAAATTAGATTTAATTGGTTGGTTATGTCTTGAAAATTGTTATAAATTATCAGTACTTGTCGACGAAGCACAATTTCAATCGTCATTATGGAGCAGAGTAACGTGCCGAGTACAAGCGCTGGTGTTTCTCACGTAACGGAAATGGAGGAAGTCTTTTTGACTACCCATGTGCATTGCCTTTTTAAGTCGCGAAACGTCAACATTCATTTCTGCATTCCTGCGTTTTTTCCAACGGTGTACCAACAGTCGACAGCTGGTAGGCATTGTGACCGATGATTCACCTGCAATTGCTGCTGCTATTACGCAGGTGTATCCGAATGCACACCATATTCTGTGTCGCGTACACCTTGTTCGGAATGTGATAAAGAGGGTAAGTGTTTCGTTCATTAACATTAACCCAGTAACCGTTATTGTAGAGGATGCGATCAGAAATTGTACAACTGTTCTTTCGCCTCATGTTCACTCGAACGGTTGAAAGGTAAATCAAAATCTACATAAAATGATTTTGTAGTTTTAACAACGTACTTTCGTTAATCGAAATGTCGGACGGAACGTTTGGCAGATACGTCAGAGACCACCTTCTACCACGGAAACACAAATGGTCCACTGCTTTTCGACCGCCATTCACTCTCTTTGAACTGAACAATACGAACTTCGTCGAGACCAGTCACCGAGTCTTGAAGATGTATCACCTTAATCGAAAAACACCGGTTTAGCAATAGAGGATGATAAATGTTTATCCTCTACTCTGATTGGGTCACTTGATTGTTTTTGTTGCTGCAACCATTTTGATACATGTTCACACGCCTTAATTTTCAGATCACGACTGCTCCTCCCTATGTATGTGTGACCACACACATTTAAATTGGTAAACACAGTGAGATGTGACACAATCGTTTTCATGTCCCTTAGGTTTTGGATGAAGCATGCACCTTGTTCTTCCTTTGATAGTGACCTTTGCTGCACAATATGTCTTGTTAATGACTGATTTAAGCCTTTGTTTCTATAAAAGGCTGTTTGAATCACTTCTAAATGGTTAAGTGATGTAGAACGGCTTCTTTCCTACCAAGGCTACAGTAGGTCTCACTGTACCACGAGTGAATTTCAGAGATAGCCATTTTCCATCAGTGTTTTATTTAGCAACCTAACAATGTCATCAATGACGTCATTTGTACAAATACGACCAAGCCTTTTGAATAGGCACCCTATCAAATCCCGTTTGTATTGCACAGGGCAATAACTATAATAACTAAGATATTGACCTGTTCACGATGGTTTTCTAAAAATGGATGGTTTGATTGGGCCATCTTCTCGTCTACTCAGAAGTATACCTAGGAAGGGAAGCTGATCGTTCTTCTCCTTTTCACATGAGAGACTGATATAGTTTTGGAGAGTGTTAAATTTATTCAACAAACAGTACATATAATTATTTCTTTCACAAACAACTAAGATATCGTCCACATATTTCTTATAAAGTTACATGTTTTCGATTAGGTCATCAGCCAGATTTTCAACATGTCCCATGAACACATCTGCTAATAATGGTCCTAGCGGACTACCCATAGCAACCCCATCAATCTGGCGAAAGTATTCACTTTCAAAGGTGAACCCTATCCGAAAACGTTTATTTAAGTATCCTCTGAAGGTTTCTTTTGAATTAGTCGATCATTTAGGTGATATTAATATCAAGGAAAAGATAATGTTTGCATGTGATGGGAATCCCTTGTTCACAAATGTATCTTTGAAAAAGACTATTGATATATTATATGACTACATATCTTTAAATAACACTAAATTACGTGTCCCTTTAAAAACTCTTAGATTTGCTATTATTACGTAGTGACAAAGTTCAGTTCATTATTATTATTATATGCATGTTCTTAACAAGTGTATGTGTGATCAGATTGTTCGAAATGCATTGCGCTAATATATCGTCTTCTTATTACATTATCAAAACTTTTCACGATGTGGAAATTGAAATATTCTAAGTAAACTGTATTTAATATTGTAGGAATAATGCTTATTTTCGGATTTTATTCGAGCAACCCGTTGATATTAATTTTGTTTGATCTTCCTTCTTCAGATACTTATCGTATCGGCTAATACAACGGACAACTTATCTCCAGGAGTAGGTGAAACCACTAAATTCACATTCTTTATTCAAGTCCCAGAAAATTCTAAATTGCCAGACTGTTCAGTTGTATTTAGGTCCGGCTATAGCAATATAAATAATGAGTCAGAATTGACCATTTTGAATGTAGATATAGAATATGGAAATGTATTTCGAAACTCACAACGAGAGAAATTTAGAGTTCAATACACATCCAAGTATCTTAATGGACAGAATGATACAGCATCAGTTGATTTTGGCAATCTGGTCAACCCAAGTACGTTTTTTCGAAGTTGTTTGCTAATATCCGATGTGTTTTATCATTTATTTAAATTTTGATGATGTCACTGTTTCCACTGGAAGGTTTTTGTTAATGACATGTCGGAAATAAATCTAACTAATGGTTTTCTAAAATAGTATTCATATGAATAACGGACTGAGAGTGGGTAATTACGTTTCTACACCCAAGTATGTCCTCTTAATCAGTGTGAATTATTAGTGATGTTCAAAGAACGCTCATAGTACTGAGAGATACTTAACGAATAAGTAGGTACATAAGTCATCCGATGTCCTCATAGACATTTGTAGTGATAACATTCTGGATTAGGATCGTAGTTGAAAATGTGACGGGGTCAAAATTTTTACTTTCTGTGACTATTTCTTACTAATGCTCCAATTTTTTATTCGGTTTGGTGATTAGTCGCTGAATTATTTATTTTGTCCTCAATGCAAAACTTTGTATGGTATTGATTTGATCTGATTGTGACCTTTACATTAATTCTCGCTGGGTTATACAGCATGATTCTCTTGCAAACGTCCTGTATGGTATTTGCCAACTAACCCTGAAACACGGTTATTACATTTTGGTTAATATGCCGTATTTATGGAGGATAAATGATAATCATCACCAGTTTTTCCTTACTATTTTGTGAAGTCTAAATAACAATGTGTTCCTGTTTCAAATATTCACCACCCTTGGTTACAATAATTTTCAGATGGATGGGTTATCATTGATGAGATATGATAATACTTAATAGATTGCTATGTCATAAAATCTGCTTAAGAATACATGTATCGAAACGATAAAGTTGAACTATTTTCCATTAGTCATCAATAATATGAAAAATAGTTCACACCTTGCGACGTTGGCTTATTAATTCACTAATTACATGTAAATGGTTTCTGAAATACAATATCAACTAAGCTCATTAAGTTTACATGAAATTAACATAAGTTTTTGTCTTTTTTTCCTTTTTAAAGGCAATTTCAATGAACACTCTAAAAGTATCATAAGAATTAATGTCATTGCTCGTGTGTCCGATAGCAGAGTGATAAACAGTGGATCAAAAACAAAGTTAGGAATGACAGCAAAATTTGGAAGCTTGTCAGGAACTACAGAAGTTTTTCAAGTAATCAAAAGAAATGGAAATGAACGAGCAATCATTTCTATGAATTTACAGGAGATACATGAAACTGGAAAAGATAAACAATTGTATGTTCTGAGTATAGCTACAATCAACTAAAAAAACAATCAAACTAATAAACTTTTTGATCAGTTTTTTAGTGAGGTCTTTTTACATAACGATGTAATAGATTGTTTAAAGTCGACTTTTAAATGTTGGGTGATTTGACTTATTTACAAATGTTCAGTGTGGTATCAATCTTTTATAATTTTTTGGTGGTTAGTAGAATATTACGTTTACTGTTACTTAATGTACAATCGTCTGAGGTAACCGCCTATCAAATTCCAATAATCATAATAATATGAATGAGTTTACTTTGCAATACCAAACTGTAAGTCAAGTTATTCATCAGTTAATCAATAAGAATGAAGTCGAATTGTCATCTTACCAAACATATGATGGATAGCTAGAAATATAAGTTCATAATTTAAACTAATACTTGCCATATGTATCACAACATACATAGATCATTCGAATTTATTATCTGCTCAAATTTCTGGCGTAAGTTATTCATTAAACTACTATGAAACTTTATGAGATAACATTTACCTAAAGTATTAATTAGGAGCGAGAAAGAAATGAATTTGGCCACTGTCACAAACTAAGCAAATGGAATTTTATAGCAGCTATTCAGTTAACTATAATAAGACCCTAAATAACAATAAGCAATTCAAAGAAAACCAGCTATATTTATTAAAATGGATTATAACATCACCGTCCAGAAGCGTTAGTATAAATGACAAACTACTTATTACGTATAAGCATATGAAGTTTATAACTAAAAAATCTGTCTTGTTTTTTATTCGAATATTTTTATTATGTAAAGAAAAATTATTGATAGCATTATAACTAATATTCTAAGTACTTTGTATTAAATACACATATCTTGGTTTCTGAAACTTCCCAGACATTATTACTACAACGCAGAATATAAAATTAATTCGAACTAATAGTCAATTATTTTATCAAAGAAGGATTATTTCATCAAAATTATGAAAACATTTGTGATGTTTTGTGAAAATATGTGCATTTCGAAGAAGTTTTATGCAATCGGAGTTCCATAAGACCACTTTATCGAATGATAGTCTGCTAATTATCAGCAAAACGTTTACTGGAATACTTTGTTTCAGTTGTGAATAGAGTGATTATTCACCACAAACATTAAATGGAATTTTTCATGAATTCTATGAAAGTGAAAAATTTATTTACCAGATTCCAGTTAACTGGCTGTACACTGTGATTTCTACTTTAATTTATGGGTGCTCGAGTCTTGACCTCAGGTATTGAAATGAATGTGGTAATGTGAAGTTCAAAGTGATACTAATATCTCTTTAGTGCATTCTTGATTTTTACTTACTATTGTTTATGGGATGCTTAATCCGAGAAATTTTGTTACTATAACATTTCTGCTGACAGTTATGGTGAAGGGGATATACTTATATTAAATCTAGAAATGAAAATGGAACGAAACTCCTCTCTTGAATGTTCCAGGCATACACTGAATGTTTATCCTGGAGTGAGTGTGAAAAATGTAGACGTCTCACCGCTTCAGCCAAATCTATCATTCATGTACTACAAAGTGCCAAGTACCAAACAGTCTGGCCCACTTGTATTTAAAGTGAGTTTAATAATATGTAATCTCCTAAACTTCACTTCATTGCCTAGGTAAGTGAAAAATTAAACGAATCCGATACATAGTGGTTTATTACAACAAAAATATTGAGGATGGTACACGTATTTTGTGTTAACAAGTATACATTAATGTTTATCTTTCTGTATATACAACCTATCCAAACTTGATGATTACATGTGGTTTCAGGATACAGATAGAATCATATTACATACACTAATAGATACCAATCAACCGAAATTTCAGATAATGCCTATATTAATAATTAAATGTGAAGATGTGTTATGTTGATCCAAGAGGAGATCACTAAGATCTTTAAATGTATTAATTAAATGAATGTATATTATTGTTGAGGGTTATGGGGAGTAACAGACAAGATTTTTTCTTCTTATAAATGCATTTTTCAAAGATTGATATGGCGCTACTAGTTATATTCAGTCTCGTTTATTGAATTTATGTCCGTACACATAAGGAAGAATTCAACGATAAATTTGGTTAATGGACCGTGTGCAGAATTATGATTCAAATAGTTCAGTGTGTCAGCATTTGGATGATAAGAATTATAATATAGTCACTTTATTTTCTTTCAACTTACAGTGAAGAAATGCCAGTTTCTATCACTTACTTTTCTATCTTCGTTTTAAGCCTAACTCTGTCCGATATTTTGTTGACAGTGACCATCAATGGGTCTGTTGATATAACTTCCTATATTATCATAACTATATAACGAGAATAATCTCTTAAATGTTTTAATAAACTTACACTTGAAGAACGTAATACTTCAAGAAATTGGTCATTATTAAACATACATAGACTTGTGTATCCACATATTTTGACTAATTGTAATTTATTAGGATAATACTAAAGATGTGAGTGTATGTAACTTAACAATTCTTTCAGCTTTTCATTGTAGTGAAGCTAGTTTTTTATTATGAGGGTTTCTGGATAAAAAAAACTCTTAGAATTCCATCGTACAATAACCGGGTAAAGCTTTTGTATATCTTCAAGAACACTTTTTTTACTTTCATTGAAATAGGGAAATTCCTTTCGCTTTGATAATGCAATCTCGGTCAAAATCTATGTCTACTTCAAAGACCAAATATTTTTACCATCACAAAAAAATACGGCAAAATATACTGTCGTCGCAGAGCTTGTTTGTATTTCCACAAACAGACCTCAACAAGTTAGCCCATACATCAGTAGATTCATGAGTAAAAGAACCGTTACACTTGCTAGCACAAATTTCATCAGTAAGTTATGTTATTTTTCTTGAGTTCACCTGAGTTCATTAAATTTTTCTAAGAATGTCGCGATTATATAGTGTACAAAGTTTTAACAGTTTTGGAAATGTCAAATCAAATTTACAAATATTTGAGATCTAAAGTTTTTTTCGGTTTAAATCATTTGTAATTTCTAACAACAATGTATTACTCCAGATGTGTGGAGAAGACCGATATTATAACACTGAAATGTAGTGTTTTCAAGTTGAGTTTATGAACAGATTCATCTATTCCCATCTAAGATAAGTACGAAGAAAAACCCACAAGGTACCAATCAGTTCCACTATGTAAATTTCGAATCAAGTTCAATGATGACTCTACAAGCTCTTAGAATGAACATACGTTTGACGATAAATAATCATATTCAAAAATTTTAATCGACGAGTATAGATTTAAAGAAATTCTGTAATTAGAAATTGGACACAGAATGACAAAATTCTAAATAATTTCAATTTGAAAAGTAATAAATAGAGCTCGGTTTAAACTTGAGATAATGAAGACGAATTCGGAACAAGAAACATGCTTGCATTATACAATCATTCAAAGAGCGAAAGAAGCATTAAATTACCACTTGATATAAAGGTCTTGACTAAAATGTTCATGGCTAAACCGTATAATTTTTGTGCATATAAAACTACTCATTATAATTCAAGTCAATTTGTCCTCTTTGATTCCAGTAATGCCTTTAGCAAAAGAATAAATATTAGCGGAAAAATAATAAATACAACCCATTTATTGTTTAGTTAAAAAAGATTCGACGACTTTTTGAATTCTACTAAACTAATACCCACTGAAGAGTATTAGCACAATTCTAATCAATCTACAATAATTTAATGACACAAGTTTGAAAAATCTCCAAAATATAAAAAGATTCACTATGTAACCATTCAATTTACATATAAACGTTGGGTAGTAGAAACTAATTTCCAAATACTTGATTCTCAAAATTTTATCTGTGCGTCTAAGAGTTTATTTGTAAGCGATTTAATAGTTGGAATCATGAGTCAATTGAAGCTAGACCATCATGGCAAATCTGGAAGTACTGGACGACCGTTTCATTCTATTGTGGGACTCCTCAGCAGTGCGCATCCACGATCCCGCCCCTCCCACGAGATTCAAACCCCGGACCTATCAGTCTCGCGCACGAGCACTTAACCATTAGACCACTGGGCCGGCGCCCAACAGTGTTAATGTCTAACTTCAACCAATCTACGAAATTGCGCCACCGTACACCATTATCTTCAGTGAGCTGACATCTCACAACAGACCTGGTTGAACTCCACTGGTAACGGCTTCCCACTAGAACTCCAGAAGTATCTCTTGAAGTCAGTCACCAGTGAGCAGACGATTATAATCAGAAGGGGTTTGTGGAGATTTTAGAAATTTCAAGGATTGAAATTATGAGTTTGACATTAACACCGTTGGATGCCAGCTCAGTGGCCTAGTTGGTTAAGCGCCTAGCACGAGATTGGTAGGTCCCGGGTTCGAATCCCTCGGGGTGCATGATCGTGGATGCGCACTGCTGAGGAGTCCCATAATAGGACGAGACGGCCGTCTAGTGCTTCCAGGTTTTCCATGGTGGTCTAGCTTCAACTGACTCATGATTTCAATCTGTGAAATTTCTAAAATCTCCACAAACCCCTTCTGATAAAAAAATTAGTCGAGACTATAATTTATGGACGAGCCAATCGAAAGTGCTTGAGGGATTTCAAGGTCGCGGAGCTAATTTCAGTACCTGATACTCACGTACAATTGGGTCACAGCGGATTTTAGAGCAAATAGGACTACAAAGAAGTTCCTTTATTTGTGATGATGGTAATCAAATGACTTGTGGACCTTGTGTAGACTGGCGTGACGACGTTGTCTTTCGATGTAATACATGTTGGACGAAGAAGTTCGCTAGAATAAGAACTTTTTTCCCTCGATTCAGATTGAGACTAAAGCAAATTATGATAATTGTTGCGAACTGTATACCAAAAGCATCAGTAACGTTGACTGTAACATTCTCAGATGTTACTAAAGCTTCGGCTGTTAAGTGGTATGAGTATTGTAGAGATATATGCATAATAAAAATGACAAGCTTACACAACCAGAGGGCACACAAACAATACTGAAGCTATGTGGTCAAGGCTAAAAGAGTTTTCGTGATCTTATCATGGCTCCTGAGGCCTACTATTGTGGAGCCATATGGGTGAGTTCCTCTATCACATACACTACGATTTTATAACCTCTGAACCTCTTTCTAACTTTGACAAATTTTTGAACCACGTAAAAGAAGTGTATCCATTTTCTTTCTTTGGTTTTGTATAATATACTATACTTACTGTTTTCTGACTGGCTAGTATTTCTCGAGATCACTTGAGCTTCATTTAAAGGTCTTCCACAAATTATAATTTCGAAGGAAATCATTTGATGATACACATTCAAATAGTTGAAATCAAAGAAAAATTTCAGTAGACAGTCGTACAATTTTCTTATTCTATTCAAAACCACATTTTATATGGAATTAATACAACTTGTACATACTGAATCTTCAGTAGTAATAATACATCAGTATAAATTTAGACGTTTTTGCAAAAATAATTCCAATTTTCTGTATATTTACAATTCAGTGTAAGATCTATTAGTGAAATAATCAAAGATAATAACTTGTAATTCATTCCAGATATAAATTAGATATTTAAAATCGGAATATCTACCCAGTAGTACTGTAGTGAAGGAGAACACAGGTAAGGACAACCGAATTATATTTAGCATAAAATTACAGAGTTATGTAATAAAATAGAAAAATCGTACTCTAATACTTAATTTGCAAAATGTTCATTAATTGTCTCAGGCTTCATTGTTCCCGAATTTCTTAATCAATTGCTTTCTATTCACGTCCTTCCCTTCTTAAACTTCTCGATCTTCTGTTGCCAGACATATTTCTGACTCACGTTATATGTTAATTATATCGATATAAGTAACACATACCACATTATGATATATTAGACTACCAACAAACACCTTTATTCCCTACAAAGATCACTAGCTTCAATGGTAAAATTGTTCGGAAATCTCAATTATATATTTTCTAGAAAATACTCAAACTTTGATAGTGCTCTTTTTTGTCTAGTAAATTTTAATAAAAATGAATTTCATTTCCTTTTTGTTATTAGATATTACAAGGAAAAAATGTGGTAATGTTGTAAAACTTACAGAAAAGCAAAATATTCATAATTGTTCAGTTAATTCATTGTCTACATTGAGCATACATGACACTGTAGGAGGATCACAATCAAATTCTCTTATTTCACATCAACCTATAACCATTCTCTTCGATCACTTAGTATATGTTAGTCAAATTAGTCCTATTTCACTAGATTCAAATAATAAAATAAAAATATTAAATGTTTCAACAACTACCGATGGAATATTATTTAAACACATTGTGACGGTAAGTCTAAATTAAATAAGTTTTTAACTACCAGGATCTATGTTTGTGACACCGTTTGTAAAATGGATATAATACATTCCATTGACCATTAAGTAGGAAAATAACACACTGAATGTGATTAATGACTGATCAACACAACTATTACAGATTTACATTTTAATCGTGATTTAAATTGCTTATTGGCACTATCACTATAGCAATGAGTAATACAAGAGTATGAGTCTTGTCAAAACTGTAGATACATCTTGTTGATGAACCTCAAGTAGTCTCAAAACTTAGTAAGCGGCTTTCAACCACTTATTTCAGCCACTTTGCATCGAAAATGAGCATATCAGTAAACTTTCTAGAGTTTCTAAATGATAATTTTTGGATGATTCGAGTGTTATATAAACAATCATTTAACACTGTCATAAATTAAATTTCATTTTAGATGAAGGAGAGTATAAAACAACCGTATATGGACAATATATACTTTAATCCTCTACTTGCTACAAGAGGATTACATTTTATTACTATTGACGCTCAAGATAATACGCGAAATGCAAACTTTTCAGTTGAAGTTTATGGTTGTAGTGCTATTTGGGATCCTCTAAAATTCGGTAAGTTTGGAGCTGCTGTTTCATTTTAGTCCTTATTTTATTCGTGAATAACATATTTACAAGTGTTTTGGCATTATTTTTTTACATCAATTTTCATACCGATAACACATTAAAACTTATTATCAACGAATATTTACATACAAAACAATGGGCTAACGTTTCATAAGGTAAAGTTAAATATGAGGATATTGTATAAAATGACTCTACATAAAACCCAAATCGTCAGTAAACACAAGTTGATATCAGTTAATAAATCCCTCAAAGAAAGATATGATGAAATGTCTTTTAACTTCTTTTTGAACTGTCAGATAATATGAAAACAAAGACTTTCTGCACTAAGAAGGACCTGACATACCTAACATTGATCACCACCCAGTGATCAATCAACTCTAACCAGAAGTCTTCTGTTGTTTAGTCCATAAGACATTGAATTATTTAATATGTAGATTGTTGCATAAACTTCTTTCAGTTATTTACTTTTCTTCGTCACCTTCAGATCCTTGTTCAAAAAAATTTGTTGAAAAAAACAATGAAAACAAACCCTTAAAAACTATGTTAATGACTAAAGAATTTATCTTCTATTGTGAAGTATCACCGCTGAAAATCAGAAACATTACGAATGAAAAGCATTGTTTTATGATTACAGGATCATTTCCAATTACTCTAACAGGTAGGCCATTTCTAACCTCCATATTACTATGATCATCATCAAATTTTGAAATTTATACTTGGTACACGTAACGTACATCTTTTTTGCACATTTGTTTCAGACATGGGACATGTAATAAACGAAATTATAATGTTACTAAAACCAAGTAATGTTATCGTGGGAAGAAACAGTCGTAATAATAGTACACTTATAAGTGAGAATATGGGAAAGTCATGGATAGTTACAAATCAATGGAAATTGAAGAATATGTTGTCACAATCATCTGAGATTATTAATTCTTATGAAACTCCGTGGTTCAATATTCAAAATAAATCCTGTGATGACTTTACTATCAGTCTATGCAATCCAGGTGGTGATCCATGGAAATGTAAGTAGTCTGATTATTATGCAACAAATTGTTTAAATGAAATACAGATGTTACTGAAGAACGTCTAGACTATTAAATATGTGGTCTATAACAAAACAAAAATCAAGAAAAGCAACTACAAAACCAAAGAAACATGGAATACGAAAATAATTTAGCTATAACTAGGGAAAAAACAGCACCAGAGAACGGAAAAGTAGGAATGATTGATACTATATATGCATCTTCTCGATGGAAACGTGTTTACTTTGTAACTTAACTTTTTAGATTTCGCCTACATAATTTGTGTATTTATTTAGGCCTAAAAATGATATTTTTAACCAACAACATAATGAACATTGAACCGGTTTGTTTCATAAGTACCTCAGAATCCCGGTATTAATCAGTATCTCAAAATAATCATCAAGGGTTCAATCACATTTTATGGTATTTATATTTTCATTTGATTTTGGTTGTTAGATCAGTTTATTCTGAAGAGATTGAACAAGCGAACCACATATCCTATAGACTTTTGATATATTTACACTATTATTAGTAAATTTGGATCAATAATTCTATTTAATTACGAATAATACCTTATACATTTACTAATTTGGAATTTACAGATTATCTAAACAACTTGGTGTTTCTTTATTTCCAGTTTGTTACAGCGGTATATCATGGGGCAATCGACTGATCACAAATTGGAATGATCGCCAAATAACTTAATAATTCAAACTTCGTTTCTTTTATATACATATTTCAACTAATAAATCAAGAATGATGTATGAAATATATGTCACGTTTTTATCAGTCTCATTTATAATCAAATAAATACCAGACTTTAGTTTCCATTGATTTCAGTTATTTGGATCTCTTTTTGATGCCCAGTATCTGACTTTAACTAAATCGGATGATGATTTTATCGCTACACACATCACAGCTACCCTCGTATATAGTTATCAACTTAAATCGCGTTAGTGAATAACGGAATTACATAAGCCAAATACGAGAATAGATTTTGAATGAGTATATTTCGTACACTGATTGATCTGAGCAGACAATCAGAGGAATGAAACGGAGAAGGCCAGTGAGCCAACTCATTTTGATCAAGCGTGATTCAATGCTTAGAGTCAGACAAAAATAAGTTACAAACACACAATGCATTGGGCAAGCAATTAACACACATACGCTCATATAAAAACAGCCAATATTGATAAGCGAGTAATTGACAAAATCAAAATGTTGCTCAAGAAGAATGAATAAATTGGTCTGTCCGGAACCTAGAATAACCCAGGTCGGTATGCCATTATAATAAACGTTACATCATGATTCTTACTGTTCCTGATATGATGTCGTACGTACCTAAGATTGTGGGTCTTGTGTAATAGATTCTGATAAAAATGCTATATAACATATATAATACGATAATTCTTGATATTTTTTCGGTTTACGCATGGTAAATGCTAAACGGATGAACAATGGAAAAATCAAATGTGAATAAATCGTATGGCATATGGATTTCGGGTTAACAGCCAAATCGCTAAACGAAATAAGACTCAGCTTATCCAGCCAAATAAACAATGAACAGAGATGGATAGCGGCTAGCGGTGAAATCCAGGACGCGCGTTTCGTCCTACTTGAGACCTGAATATTAGAATTGATGTTTAATCCATATATTCTATATTAACTAAAATCATAATGTCTATATCGGGGCAATTCGCACTGGATACCCATATACTACCCAAGGCTGGGCGAATTTTAGTCCAAATATAAACAACATAATAATGCATGTCATTCCAAATTGAATGGATACCCATATCCGTTACACAAGTGAGCGGGTATCTGAAATCAGTAACTACTTGGATGATTCTGTACTTGGTTCGAGTCCCGGAATAAGCATCAATTCAAACACAAACGCATCCAGCTGACATGTCCCAATTTGGATCAAATACGCGTTCTGGATTCCACTGACAGTCAAATTTGACCTATTGTAAATTAACTGAGAGAATATGTCTGTTATATGTCCCAAGTCATCCATGCATTATTATGCTTAAAAACAAGTGAGCATTGGAATGGTAAACACTAGTTTTAGTTATTTTAAGATTGTAATTAACTGAGTAATATTAGTTAACTTTGTCGAATTACAAAGATGCTCCTTCTCAAGCTTTGTTAGATTTTAGGGCAAACGAGGGCAGAAATTAACCGTTGATAGTGTTTAATTAAGCAGTGATCAATAAAGCTTAAATAAATGTTGAAGAATCTATAATCTTATCTTTAATAATCCTTTGAATACTAGACAAATGATTTTTTCTAGCTGAATTTCATATTCTGATAGGACAAATATTTGATAAGCACATTAAGTATATAAGCAACTAATATGAACCAGCATGTGAGCGTAAAAGTAAATCACATTATCTTAAACATTTTTATAGTGAAGGAAGGTAACATTGTCAAATTATAAAGATATTGAAGAATTTATTTATAAATGAATCATTAGTTGACCTGTTTTTATCCAGTGCATACCAAGGATTAATCGTTATTATAACTTTTGTGGTTTGTGTGTGTATAGTCAAGAATACTTTCAAAAAGACATTTTATAAAAAAGTGCTTATATTTAATTCATTTGTGCGATCAAGTACAACGAGCTGATGGGTACCAAATAGAACGAAACACGCGTCCTGGTCGTCAAAATTAAGTATTATCATACTTTGTGCATTTTCAGCAGCTAACATGTTTCACAACAGCAAAATCTTGTGTTAGCAAGAGTAAAATGCAAGTATATACTTTTATTACGTCCACTCCAGTTCATGCGCATTTTATATGTATAATTCGAAATGTATTTTATAATTTCTGATAACTGTTTGAGAATAAACTAAGGTGAAAAGTTTTGTAAAGTGACTAATCACACACAAAAGATTATTTACAATTTTCTCAGTTATTTTGTTATTTAGGATGTTAATATGATATCAAAAGATAGATTCAGTGTGAGACCATTCAATAACTGAATGTACGTTTATAAGATTTAATTTTTCAATAGGAAATACATCAGTTTCTTTGTTGTCTCAATAATAATTGATGGAATATTAAGAAGAGCACAATATTAGTAGTTAGAATTGTAGTTAATGAAGCATAACCGATCTATTATGAGAAGTGAATATTTTTTTATCAACAATACGACGTATACAGTGTAGGTATGTGTTATGACGCGCGGTGTCCAAGACTGATAATGATATACAGAATTCCTGTGCCAAAGTTCCCGACTAGATTCTCAGCCAGAAGAATTGCAGTGGAGATAGTTTACTAGGATTAACCGATATATATATATATATATATATATATATATATATATATATATATATACTAATTTCAATGGTTAAGATCATGAGTCAGTTGAAGCTAGACCACCATGGAAAACCTGGAAGCACTGTTGTGAGATAGTCACTCACTGAAGACAATGGTGGATGTGTCGCTCAGTTTCGTGGATTAGTTGAAGTTAGACATAAACACCATTGGGTGCCGGCTCAGTGCTCTAGTGGTTAAGTGCTCGCGCGCGAAACCAGTAGGTCCTGGGTTCGTATCTCTCAGGAGGCGAGGTCGTGGATGCGCACCTCTGAGGAGTCCCACAATAGGACGAAACGACCGTCCGGTGCTTCCAGGTTTTCCGTGGTGGTCTAGCTTCAATTGACTCATGATCTTAACCACTGAAATTACTATAATATTCACAAAACCCATCTGATATATATATATATATATATATATATATATATATATATATATATGTACCTTAGTAAATAAACCTATTTCTTGGTTAATAACATGCAGTTGCCATTAAAAGATTTTTGATTGTCAATTTTTGGTTTCTGTTTTATTCACTTTCGATTGACTCAGTGATTATATTATTCAATAACAATATAATCATCTAACTTATTCGGATGAATAATCTCCAAATACCAAGGTCTTGCAAAGTCAGATCTATACATAAATAAATACAAGTATCATAATAAATTTCAAGAATTTTGATGTCTTTAAAAAATCATTCAAATAACAAATTGCTGATAAAATTTGGAATCGCACTCCAAAATTAGTTGTAAGAACATTCTAGTTGTAAAACAAAAAAAATTTTAGCGAGTAATGGTTTATGATGACTTCTTCAGACACTTCACTCACAAATCCATGACTAATATGATAAAACCATAGAATATTTTTGAGTCAGAATACTAACATATAAACAACGAATATACTTTTAAGTTATTGTGCACAAATATCCAAAATGCTACTGGAATATTCTCAAAAAAAACTATATTTATCCAAACTTAAAATCTTTTAAACGCCATGTACAAAATGTTATCGATTCTATTTGTTCACGCATCCCGTTAACAGAATCCAATATTTCGCCAAGACCTCCTGTGCTATATGAGTTATCACCCGACGAACACTATCCTTCCACCGAATATGTTATCAGAGTTACGACAAAAACACGAAATTATCGAAGCATAACATAAATTTCTGAACAATCGTGAGAGATATGTGTTTAATCATTCTTCAGTATCCTTAACAAATGTACAATTAGAAGCCTTGTGGTGGTCGGTATTCGATATAATCTCTAAACTTCGTATACAGCTCGTCTTGATAACCGTTCTATATAACGTCCCAACGGTATATTAATCAGAAGGCAAATACGAAGTGTTGATTACTTTTATTGCGAGACCACACACATATATCCAAATGTACAGATGCGTTAAACAAGCATAGAAGAGTTGTGCTGAAAGGCAAGCAAGCGAGCGAGAGCCATAGCAAGAGCGAGACGGGAGTGTGTGAGTGAGTGTTGAATATGAATAACATGGACATATATATACCATGTGAAATGAAGAGTAATTGAATCAAATAAGCGGTCAGTAGTAAGACTAGCAGAGTGAATAAATGCGTAGGCCGTAAGCAATATTCAAGCATACGTATTTCATACAAGCAAAAAATAATAAGAGTACAATAAGTTGTTATAGTGCGGATGACTTTGTCCGCTA